CTCAACTATCAGGAAGCAAAGAGAGTCAAATGTAAAAAAGAGAGTGAAACCCCCCACCCCCCACACCCCCCCCCCCCCCCCTCTCCCCCCGGGGTTGAAGCAAAAGTGACAGAAAATGATGTTAAGTGCACCCTCAGAAACGTATATTAAAATCCACCCCAGAAAATCTAACTAAAAGCCTATAAAAGTTATTTAAGATTTAAAAAAAACAAAAACAAACACACATATTCACATCTCCCATCCATCCTCTATCACACAGTCTCTTGGGCTTAATTTGGCAAGAAATGACAATTCAAACTTTGGGCACAGGAATAGCTTCAGGTAAGAGATGTTGGCATCTGTGGCTTAGGCGTTGCAAACGCGCTTTGTAATGCCGCGTTGCTGGGTTTGATCCCTGCTACCGACAAATTGTCTTGCGCTGGTTTCGACAGTGGTACAGAGAGCTGACCGTTGAGGAAGCAATGGCAAACTACTGAGCGTAACATTTGCCTACAAAAATCACTACAGCCAATAAATGCTGGGGTTGGTTCTGCAACGCAACTTGCCAACTAAGAGATGTAATCACATGGATAAAGATTAGAAAAGGATGGAGAAAAACTGATTTAAAAAATAAAATCCTGTGCAATAATTTCATGAGTTTAAGTTAGTTGTCAACCAGAGTAACTAACAACGATTGCTTCAAAGAAGCTAATGAAAGTATATCTCTATATACAACAATAAGAAAAAGACAAAAGCTGTTCTTTGGCCACATAATGAGAAGAGAGACACTGGAGAACATCCTGACAACTGGAAAGATCAGTGTAAAAAGGGGTAGAGGCAGACCAAGAGAGATGATGCTGTATGGGCTGAAACGACGGCATGGAGGGATATCATCAAGAGAGCTGTTCCAGGCAACTAGGGATCATGATCTGTGGAGACGCATGAGCGCCTTCACCAGTTGGTAGGGCACATGGTCATCATGAATAAGTAGTTGCGTATACTTTACAGGACATTGCAGAACCAACCCCAGCATTTTTTGCCTATCTAGTTTTACTGGTAACGAACACCTGGGCTCTTATGACAGAAACCCAGGTTCAAATCCTCAGGCAGATAATGGTTTTTTTACTGTCTGGGACAAGAATACAATCCTAAACTTGGACAGTGGATGGTAACAGACCCAAGAACTGATTGCTACATCAGAAGTGGACCATCTTACTGTATGTGCACATCATACAAAGGGGAAAACTGGAGTGTGTCGTGACAACATAAAAAGTTCAAGAACCCATGAAGCAGAAGGAAACCAAATTAGAAGATGTCAGACAGTTTGGTACTATGGTATGGAGAGACATCTGTATCAAAACTGATTGGCAGTGCTCATAACAGAAGGCTTGGAGAGACACAATGATCAACATCACATGACAGGGACCTTCAGAAAAAGCATCATATGTTAAATAGGGGTAAAAGCACCAGACAGTTTTTCACTCTAGAACAAATTAAACAAAAGCAGTCACGTTAATGATGAATGACAAACTAAACACGTAAACACAGTGAAACCTACCGGAGAAGGTTGATAGCCTGCAATTGATGAGACTAAAATGATAGTACCACCACTGAAAGAAAAAAAGGAAATATGTTTACCGCTTGGTAAAATATATAAAATGTCATATATGTAAATATTTCACTAGAGACACTAAAAGAGAGGTTTATAGACATATGGCTAGGCCTGATCCTAATGACAGCATTAACCATCTAACAAGAAGGGACCAGGCCACCATCTTCAGACTCAGAACACAACATACTCCACTCAGTGGACATCTAAACAGAATACAGCCACAACACTCCCCAGAGTGCCAGCTATGTAACTACCCCTATAAAACTGTTGACCATCATCTCTTTGAGTGCCCAAAACTCAGCGAGACTAGAAGAATGCTACTCCCTCCGAGACCAGACAAGTGGAACACCCTGTATGGAGGAAAAGATCAGCTTGTGAAAACATGCAAATTCCACTAAATGGCACTGGGCCAGAGGGCGAAAGCTCATGCGCCGATGGATCGATAACAACAACACTAGAGACATGGATGAAAACAAATACCTCAGGAAACTGATAATTATTCAAGAAGATTAATTCGAGAAATCTGAGCAAATTTTGGAAAACTGCTGGCATCAACTGTTATTAAAAAGGAAAAGACAGCAATAAGTGGGCTCATTTTGATACCTTCTTCTTCTTCTTCGCGTTCAATAGCTGTAAACTGGCGAAAAGTTATGGTTGTTCATCCACTTCTGGATTGCAGTCCTGTTCCAGAACCTGAGTGTTGTGTGTTTTACATATCTGACTCATTTGTATGCAGACTGCTGGTTCCTTGTCTCTCAGGGTGATGCACTCCGACTTTAAGTAAGCTCCCAATTAGTCGACTCTTACGACATGCATTTGGGTAGACAGTGGGTCTATTTTTGTTTTCCCTATAACAGGGCCCCAGAACCCACACAGGGAATTTTGATTTTTTTTTAAAGCCCCCCCCCCCCCCCCCCCCCCACCCAAAAAAAACCCCCCCACAAAACAGGCAAAAAAAGGAGAAACAAATGGACTGAGCAAGAAAGGCCACCCGAAAGAAACCCTGCACAAACACTGATGAGAGAGACCAGATGCTGGACGAGACTCCATGCACGATAAAACAAATATATTGTATAGGATACCTTGGACGGCTAGAGTAACTAACAATGGTTGTTTGAAAGAGGCTAATGAAAGTAGATCTCTATATACAACAATAAGAAAGAGACAAACACTGTTCTTTGGTCACATAATGAGAAGAGTGACATTGGAGAACATAGGGACAACTGGAAAAACCAGTGGAAAAAAGGGTAGAGGCACACCAAGAGAGATGATGCTGGATGGGTTGAAACGATGGCATGGAGGGATATCATCAAGAGAGTTGTTTCAGAAAGAAAGAAAAGAGTTCGACACAAACATCGTGATTGTAACCAACTCAGAAAGCATGCTGAGTAAGATCAGGACAGGCATGCTTCGAGCAGATTGGCATGCCTCGCTGCGGAGGACACGGGTGAGGAGTAATGTCTGGATTTTTTCACTGGGAAATGCCGGTGTGTTGGGAAATGAACAGGCGGACAGACTGGCTGGCTCTGCACAACCTAGTGGAATAATGATGCATGAAAAGGCAGATGTGGTTAGTGCCTTGTGGGAGAGTGTGTACAGTTCGGAGAAGCAGATGGATCACCACAGTCTGGTGAGATTGATGAAGGGGGAGTGACGAGAGGTTCTGGCAGATGCTCAAGGCTCAGAGGAAAGGCAAGACGGAAGTATAACCAGAATGCTTCTGGTACTATTAGTATCGGAACTCTTCGCTGGCTGCTGAGGATGGGGATGGAGTGCTTATGTGAATGCCCCAAGTGCTGTGATGTCGGTTCTTGAATCAAATCAAATCAGCTGTCCCAGGCAACCAGGGATCGTGATCTGTGGAGACGCATGAGCGCCTACACCAGTTGGCAGGGCACATGATAATGATGATTATATATGATAGAGTGGAATGGAGGTGCCCTTTTTGTGGCTTAAACAGAAGAAGAACAAGAGAAAAAGACTAGATGATCTGCTTGCCACTGGGTGAGTTCAAGAGCTAAAAAAGCTAAACATACACACATTTACACTTTAGAACAAGTAAAGAAGTTAGTAAAGTAACTTTTTCTAGGTATGGGCACAATCTGTTTGAGTATAGTAACTTTTTTATGCTATTGGCATATTCGGCATAAAGTGTTATACCAATTTTTTTTTTTTTTTTTTTACAGATCACTTGATAACTGAGGGGAGGTGTGATCAACATCAGTCTGACCGTCTTTACTTCCCAGGATATTTCTTCATATCGACTTTAAGCTGGATCTCCTTGGTCCTTAGCTCAATTTTGGGTGATACAAAAAAGAATCACCGGTCCCCTAACAAGTTTTTTTTTTGAATTTTTGTTGAAGTGATTCTTCTTCTTCTTCGTGTTCACCAGCTGTAAACTCTGGCGGAAAGTTCTGGTTGTTCATCCACTTCTGGACTGCAGTCCTGCTCCAGAACCTCAGTGTTGCGTGTGTATCCGTTTTACAGATCTGACTCATTTGTGTGCAGACTACTGGTTCCTTGCCAGTAAGATGCACTCTGACTTCAAAAGAAGCTGCCAATTAGTCGACTCTTTCGACATGCTTTTGGATAGGCAGTGGGTCTTCTTGTTTTCCCTATAATAGGGCCACGGAACCCACAGGGGGATAAAGGTGACTAATTCAGGCAGTTTCCTTCAAAGTCGAAAAACATCTGCCTGAGAGGCGAGAAACCAACAGTCTGCATACAACTAAACCTGATATTTGAAATGGATGGGCATGCAAAGCACAAGTTTTGGAACAACAGCAAAATCAAGAAGTGGACGAACAACCAGAACTTTACAGCTGGTGAACACCAAGAAAAAGAAAAAGAAAAATCAGATTTAAATGGTTCCCATGAAATGTTATCTGAAGTCAATGCGACTGTTATAATACTGAGAACATCTTACTTCAAGTTTTTTCCAAGAATTTGAACCTCGGTCTCCCGCTTAAGAGCCCTCACTCTAACCGTTCGACCAGCCACTTTTTATGTGTGTGTATTCAGGTCCCAAAAAACAATTTAATAACAACTGAACCAGAAATGTAATTTCATTTATCACAGGCATGTAGTTAAATGTTTAACAAAAACATCTTTTATTTTATTACAAATTCACTATTATTTTCTCAACTATTTTGTCACAATTGTTTCCTGTTCATTTTTTTAGTAAATACTTCAGGTTAAACATTTTGTTTTATAACATATTTGGTGAAACATGTACATGTTATATTCATTTGTACTTTGCTCTCAAGCCAACTGAAGCCACCCACTTCCAAATTTATCAAATGGCACAATAAGGCGGGTATAAATGCTTAGTGACGAAGAAAAAAGATAAAGAAAAAAATGCAACATAGCCAGAGTATACCTGACATGCTACTAGAACAATCATACTCACATCAAAAGGGACATATCCGGCAATGGAAGATATTAAAACTAACGATCCACCACTGAAAAATGACAATTAATCTAAACCAATCATAGAACTACACAGACACAGAAATACAAACACGGTAAGAAACTAGAAGTCAAACAAATTAAAAACTTTAAAACAGTACTGAAACTTAGAATGTGTAACGAAAAATAAAAACACAAAAGGCAAGCAGAGCTTTCACAACATGAGGCGTTCTATAAAAGTCAAAAGAAATTAAACCTTCTGCGAAACTCTGAATATTCTTAAACATCAACAGCTGTTTGAAGCACAAACATGGAAAATAACTAAAAAGTTACTATTTCACTACAAGCTCAACAGGTACTTGTACAGGAGAGCTTTTCAACCAAGTTTACTCAGGGGCAACAATCTAAAAATGGGATCGTCACAGGCCAGAGATCTGAGCCGCAGCATAGAAAGATCATTAATACTTCTTCTTCGGCTGCAATTATCAGAAGATGTAATTGCATTGTGCCCATTTACAGGTTTTTCAGCCAACACATCTGACTTCTGCGGGCATTTGTTGACCGGGTTAGCCTTCTGGGGATCATTAATTCGATACAACTGGTAATAATCCACGGCTACTAGCTAGGCCTCTTCCGGCCATATCTGGCCCGAGAGTAGCCAACTGAATAGCACTGCTGTACAAAATACAGGGTACAACAATAATAGATGGTATGACAGAATTAGTAACGCAGAACTTGAGGAAACAACTGAACAATTCTTTCGAAACAAGAGGTCAGGAAATGGCATTAAGCTGAACAGGACATATGATGACACAACAGTAATACAGCTAAAATGTCCATTCACTGGAACCCACATGTGAAATAAAGATAAAGGAAACCAAACAGCCTATTGTGAAGAGAATTACAGTCACAGATGAATAACAGGGAGGATATAAAGTCAGTTTCAGGAGACAGCAAGGGATGGACTGGCCTGGAGTTATTTGGCTGTGGCCTATGTTTCAATCACAGAAGAAAAAAAAGAAGGATGAGAAGAAGGAGAAGGAGAAGGAGAAGGAGAAGCAGAAGCAGAAGCAGAA